GAGAGAGAGAGAGAGAGAGAGAGAGAGAGAGAGAGAGAGAGAGAGAGAGAGAGACCGCTTTGGCTACTGAGCATGCCCAGTTCCCAGCTCTAGCCCTATAAGGGAGGCATTGTGTGAGTTCCACTTCTCCGGGCTTTGGTGGTGACCAGAAGGGACTTGGGTTGGAGAGGGTGGTGGTGAATGGGAGTCTTTAGGGAAGGGGGGCCGCTTTTGAAGCTTTGGGACTCTTCAGAAGGCCTGTGCAGAAGGAATCAGAAAGAAACCCAAGGGAGCCTTCAGGGAGACAGAGAAGGAGCTGAAATGGACCCTAAAAGTCACTTCAGTTGCTCTCTTATTGTCTTGTGTCAAGCAAAGAGGCCTTGCAGTTGACAGTCAACTACCCAGAGGCTGCAGACCGAGTGTGAGGATTGGCCAGGGCCCTTTCTGCCCCAGGGGTTAGCGTTTAGGTGAAAGGTGAGGAAGGTCCAGGAAGGGGAGCAGGTGAAAGCTCTAAAGGTGCAGATAAGTCTTTCAGTTCTGAAAGTTGGTAAGAGGGCCAGGGGTTCTGGCTACCTTTTCTGTAGTGGCAATACCAGGCTTTCCCACCAAGCAAAGACTAGAATGTTCCTTTGGCTAGGCTTCCAGCCACCTTGCTGGGTTTGTAGGCACTTGGCTAAGAAAAACAACTTTCTTCACTTTGCATTGGTGGGGATAGAAGGACTCTAGGCAAATAGCGCCAAGTTCTAACTGGGAAGCGTGTCCCTAGGACTCCTTCCTGGTAGCCCTTGGGATGCCACCTTTCAGGTAATTCTGCAGGGCCTTCTTCAGGACCTGTTCGGGCTGAGGCACTCACTCCAGTTCTAGGAGCTCCAGCCACCATGGGGAATAGCCAGGCCCCAGAAATGCTTTTGCTTAAAAATGAAAAAAAAAAAGTCATTAAGCTAAAACTAGCAATAGCTTGGAAACCAGAATTTGGCTGGCTGCCTGAACTCCTACAGTTAAACATTTACCATAATTGGCTGATGTCTAAAGGCCTGAAATCTCGGCAAAAAATCCAATGAGCTGAGGATTTATGCCATTATTTGCAGATACCTTTTATATTATCTGTAGTATCATTTATATGGAAGTTGGATTTTTTCAATTTTGTCATTTCAAGAGGTGGCAGATTATATTATATTCTTGCAAATGTTTGCTGGGCACAGCATGTATATAGAGATGTACATGTAATATTTAAATGCATATTTAAATAGATATGTGGATATAGGTGTATTTCTTTATGACCTTGGTGAATATTGCATCTTTCATAAAGAACCGTTTTTCTTCACCACATTCCTCATTGCCCTGAAAAATTTCATCATCTTCTCTTTTAAAAACAACCTGGAGGCAGAAATCGAGTGGGCAGCAATGGTAAAATTTGCTATATTCAATGTGAAATCCATTATGAAATAGCACTGCTTAAGGAAACAAGAAAGGATCTGTCCATAATAACATATGTACTTGTGCAGCTCCTTAGTAAAGAGAAATTTGTTTCCTCCATAGGTAACAGCTGCAGTATGTTGAAAAATCCTTCCACTGTTGTACACTTGAACAAAACAGAACCTGCTAATTAAGAACTCACATTTGCATTATATTGTATAATGCAATTTGAAAGTTGTAATGGATACCAAAACAAGTTGGCATTTATTCTAAATGCAAAGGATTCAGGAAGCTACACTATATTTTATCAGGATAGGTGAATTGTTTGTCCTTTACTATAAATGTTAACAAGATTCAATAGAATGGGCAAAAAAAAAAAAATTACCTGAAAATATAACACACATTCCAAGTACTGTGATAGCTGAAAAGGCCAGATTTGGACAGTAAATATCAGATGATTTGAATACCTATCTTTATTCGACTTTAGAAACTGTTCTGAGAGTTGACTATATTTGACTGCAATAAATATGGAATGTTATTTTTTGGTGTGGGCATGGAGACAGGTGTGAGACCACACGCAGTTAGAATATCAATATAGTGCGATTAATAACAGTGCTAAGAATTTATGGGTGATTAATATCCAACTCGTTAAAATAAACTCATTAATATATGAATATGTTTAATATAAAATACTTTGCATCTCAAAATGTTAAAGTGAATACTCATAAAATAACATAGAAGTAACAGCTTCCATGCCTTCTGCTTCTTTTGGTTTCAAAGTAATTTTAAAACCCAGTCCTTTCATCCCGCAGTCTATTTTCTATCTCCTGGGACTATGTGTAATATCCATAGAGAACAACAGTACACTAAAGGAAATTGCTAGCTTAAAAAAGGGAAGTAAATAAATAAATAAATAAATAAATGTGTTAAGAAAACTCCAGCACTATTTATGGCAACTGAAGGAAAAACAAAGTTGATGCCCTTCCTAAAATCCAGGAATACGAATATGGCGAGATGGATTTGCTATAGCTTCATAGCTTTTCTACAAATGTACTATCATATTTAATTTTGGCTTTGCAAGTGTCACTGACACCACAGGGTCATGCTGATATACTCAGTCTTCTTCCTTCAAGGTGAAAAAAAGGACTGCACCATGACTTTCATCAGCGCTCCTGGATATACTTAATTCCAAAGGCAGTTTAAGTCAATAAAACACTACCAACCAGAACTGATTATACCACCGACAAAACTTTCATTGTATTCTTTAGTTATTCTGTCTGGTCTTGCTGCTGTTTAAAATCAAATTAGCCTTAATTTTGGTATCCAGATATTACAGATCATTCAGTGTGTCTTAATTTAGAAGATGTATTTATACTCTGGCATTTAAAAAATTGCAAACTTGACATTTCTCTAAGTGGAATAGAACAAAGTTCTTAGGATGTTAATATATCTTCTGGGAAGTGATGTTGCCATGATCAAATACGTTTAGAAGACCTTTGATTCCATGCAGCCAAACACTTTTTAATCCCAGATTTCTTAGCAAATTTAATTATCTTAAAAATGAATTCTGACTTACAAGGGCAAAGAGATCTAGCTTGTAGCATTTCACAGACTTACTGAACAATGGAATCCTTTATTTATTTATTTTTTCACATAGACTTTGAGAAACCTAGTGATTGCTTATTTTTGCAGATTTCATGGAATTTAGATGGTGAAAGCATTGAGGTCAATGCCTGATTATTATCTACTAAGAGCCTCTTCTTCAACACCCTTACCTCCAAATATGAATTCATTTGGTTTCCTGAACAATATTGTTGAAGCAAGGGAGAGATTCTTCTCCTTTATAACACTAGGTTCTGGGAAGTTAAGAAATTGTCCAAGGTTACAAAGTGAGTGACAGTCAAGATTTGAGCCCACGTCCTTGAGGTCTTTCAAACACTCCATAATTCCTTGTCAACATTAGAGTACTTGTAATTTTGAGCACCAAATAGATTGTTTCCTCCAATGAGAAAACACTTGGGATATTTAAATGTTTAAATGTTTGCAAGTATTAAAGTATTTATATTCAACACCGGAACAAACCAACAAAGGATATGAAAAAAAAAAAAACAAGTAACACAAGTAAAAATTCACAGGGTCTCTTCCATCAACCAGCTGGTTTTACCCTTGCCCAAGTGTTCTGTCAACTCTCTCTCTGCTCTTTCAACTCTCATACCTGAGTTGATTCTGAACCTATGACACTGTTTCATTTATCCCTTCTAGAGACAGTTGTCTTTACTATCGCCAAATGGAGTCATATAATCTGTAGTGTTTATCTCCAGACTTACTCCAAAATTAAAGACAAAAAAAAAAGTTAATAGCACTCTGAGTAGAATGGAAGATATGTTAATCAATTGATTAAATCATATCACCTAACATAATCTTCCATTTTGGGGGGGGGGACTACTTCTGTATTACAGCTTGTAACTTGCTTTCCATGCACTGCCCTCCAGAAACTACGGTGTTAGTGGTTACTCTACTAAAATCTGAGTCCTCCAGATTTTGACACCTAAACTGTCTTGGTTCATGTGCATGACTAGTACCACCTATGTTCTTTACAATATCATTTTTCTAAGCCTCAGATGCTGGGTGAATAGTGCCTGTTCTGTTTAAGTGTTTCCTTTCTGACTTGAAGGAATCTCATCGTTCTCAAATCCTGTCAAAAGTTGGGGTTCAGAAATAAGCTCAACTGCCCTCAGACAACTAAAAGAGAATAAAGATAATGGAATAAAAATCAGGAAGCTAATAGCCCAACAGCTACCAGGAGAATTACTCACCTGGCTGTACGTGTCCCCTAACAGCCACCAACGCTTTGTCAGGTTGCTGATGGATCTTTCCATGTCTTCCATGCTAAGTTTTACCTGGAGAACCAAAGAACGGTCTCCAGTCAGAAAAACATTTTTTTTTTTCAATTACAGAAATACTGAAAGTCTTGTTTACCATTGCTTGTATAAGAGTTTATTTTCCTCAGAAATGAGGCAGAAAAGGCATCAGATGAATATATGTGAGTTATGGTATAACTATCACAATTACTAAATCAAAAAGAATATGCACCCCCTTCTGTGGATCAAAGGGTGAGTAAGAGGGAATTAGAAAATCCATGTAAGCAAGAGGTACATATTTGAGATTGGCTCTCTCTCTCTTTTTATTTTTTCACTGCAGAATGGGAACTTGTTTCCCTGATCTGACTCAAATTCAGTCATGTCTACCCACAGAAGATCCTCATGAAAAAAAAAAAGAAAAGAAAAGAAAAGAAAAGAAAATCCTGTGTCCCATGTCCAGGGATGATGGTGGGGAAAAACTGTCATCACAGAGCATCCCTCCTCTAGCTGTTACTGCTGTGTGATTGCTAATCATAGAATTCAGGGTTTAAAGAG